TCAGAAGCTTAGAACAGTGTACAGTGTACTAAATGACAAGTTTCTATGAATACTAGATTACTGGCAAAAGTATTAAAAAAATGTGCGACAGAGCTGCTAATTTGCTTGAGAATTCAGGTTAAATTGAGGTTAAAATATGAAAAAGGAGCACAAATCGCCTCCGTAGCCTCCCTAATTTATAACATTTTAATTAATCAGTGTGTTTCTGTGACATCCTGTTCAGACTGCAAAGGAACAGTTTATCCTGAAGGTGATTTCTGAGCCTGTCAGTTGCCGAATTCGTAGTTTGATGCAGGCAGAAGACATGTTTTTCTGTAAATACACTCACTTTATATTGCGTACTTGGTATAAAATACACTTAATTGCATATAAACAGTTAACTTCTTTATGTGATTTCCATCAAGAAAAAAACCTATTGGTGAAATAAAAAATGTTATAAATCAAAAGTTGGTATGACTGTGAATAATCTGAGGCTTAACTATGTCAGTTTGAACTCTCCTGCATGCCGTCCTCTTTCCCTCTCTGCTCTGTCTTTCTATTGTCAGCTTTCCAATAAAGGTAAACAAACAGATAAATAAATAGACAACAAAATAGAATTCCTTTATAATCAGACAAGTTTTAGGTCTTTGCACGTCACTAAAACGTCACTTTTTAGGCTTGGATGTGTGACGGACTGTGTTGTTGTTTCCAGACACGTCCACGGGGGGGCGATAGCCACAATGATTGACACGGTGACGGGAACTCACGCCACGCTGCTGTCTGGACCCGTGATGACGGCCAACCTCAACATCGACTACCGCAGGTACAGCAGCAACACAACTCAGTCGGCAGGCAGCAACGAATGAGCTGCACTGAAGCATTCAGTCACATGTAGAAGCAGGGTTTTTATCACTTAGTTTGACCAGTTACTGAAATCTGAGCAATAATTCTCCTAATAGTTGGTGGTTATGATAATAGACAAAAGCTTTCTGGATGCACAGTCTCAGTTATTTCTATGGACAAGTTGAGCTGCTTTATGGGAAAATGAAATGCACTGTTCAGGTTCCCTCCATGATACAACGTCCAGCTGTCGGTTAGCGCAGACCGACAGTGATTGACGTCGCATAGATAATTCATTGTGCCAATTAAATATTCAGTTCAGTCATGTCCGTTGTCACAAAATCGAACCCCGGCGCTCCGGTTCGCTTGTTGTGGTCAAACAGGGACCAGCAGACTTTTGGGTTCATTGACTAACAGGGTTCTCATCTTAGACATCTGATAAAAAACAAAGAGAGAGAAAGCATTTAGGGTTTTTTTTTTTTTTGTATGTTTGGTTTTGTCCACGTTTCTGGATCAGTCGTCCTGGAAACCAGAGGACCGCGTGGTGACATATTTTAAAGCAAACCTGGTACCTACCATTTTAATCTGTCTTTTAATTGACTTTAATTATTAACTTAAAACATATTTATAAATTATTATCANTTATTGAATCTGGTGTGATTTTTATCAGTGGTGTAACAGGTGAACATACAAATACAGCAATGTACAAATACTGGAATTGCAAGTGAAAGTCCTGCATGGAACTTAAGTCAAAGAACACGGCAGCTAAATGTAGTTGAAGTATTGCAGTAAACATCTTGGTTTGGTATTTTATTACATATAAAGTCTGTGAAGCGTCAGTGTGCTGGTTCCAACTACTTTATATCGAGTTTCATTTTCAAGGACAGCAGATAAAGCTGATTAACGGAAAAGGAAAGAAGTAACAAATATGCCTTCAGTTTTTCTGTTATCCTTGTTTTTCTCAGATATGTTGGAACATTTCTTGAGATGTGAGGAGTTTAAAGGGGAAAATCTGAATTTGGTGGAGCTGAAATGTGAGCCGGCAAAAAATCTAAACGCTTTTTATGTCATGCATTGTGTGAAATGGGATTATTAGCATGTGAGCTTAAATGGATTAGTTTTACCTAATCCTATTTATTATATTTTCTGTCTCATGATATTAGCTGGTGGCTGTAATGAATTCTTCCTGTTTTTCTTGCAGTCGCTGCCGTTGCCTTTTTCCTCCAAGTCGAGGGACTTCAGCCTGCCCAACTCGTCGTGGGGCTCGGAGATGAAGCGGCTGTACGAACACTACAACGGCCAGTGTGCGGCCGAGTCCGACGGAGGGGAGCAGCAGGAAGGAGTGTGGAGGAGGCTGCCGAGCTACAATCGCTCTCTCAAGTACGCGACAGGTACAAGACTGTGGCTGTTTGTTGTGTTTGTGAAAATGGAGAGCAAACACAGTGATGGAGTAACGAAGGGCTCAGATTTAAAGGGTTTAACTGCATCGTTTTTTGTTTAATGATGTTTTAGGACACAGTCTGGCCCTCAGCACTCACCTAATCGATTTAAAACTAGACCAAGTTTTAGTTCTGCTCACATGGTTTATGCAAAATTGAAGATTGTGAAGATTATGTGAAGTTTTTGAACCAGCTGCACTATAAACAACTTAATTCTGCAGGAGTGCTTTTTCAGGATTTCTCAGTTAGCTTTTAATTTGCAGCTTCAACACACACAAAACATTTAAACATATGATGAATGTTTTTGACAAGACATAAACAGATAGAGGAGAAGTGATCAAATGTCCAAATTGGTTGCGGGCAGCATAAAATTATTGTATATATAATTTATTTAATCCACACTGAAGTCAGAATAAGACACATTCTTTATCTTGCTGTGTCTTGACTTACAAAGAAAACAACACATCTGTACACTGATTTGATTTCTCACATCTGTAGATGTATTTATTTTTGTCTGTGTTGCTTTTACTATACATTAAGATATTAAAGTAGTCCTAAAATATTTATTGTTTACTACTCAACATCTTCCACTTGCACTGTTTATTTACTCTGGTTTACTTGTTATTGTAAATACCAGCACAATTTTGCACCTTATTTCCTCTACCAGTAAGATTTGTACGTTCTTTTGCACGTTAGTTTCCTTAATTCTCTTTATCGTAACATGTGAGCTACTGCACACCTTGAATTTCCCCAAAGGGATGAATGAACTGTCCATCTATCTGACGTGTTGCTGTGTGTTTTTTTTTCCCCCCACCAGGTGGCGTCTACCTCAGCAAGCTCATCCAGTCAAAAGCTCGTCTCTTCACCCGAAACATCAGGGAGCAGGGGGCAGCGTTTGAGTACGTTATCTTCTACAACAAAGAGGAGCAGAGGTGTGTGGGCATCTTCCAGGCCGGACATCTACTGGAGGGACCACCAGGGTGAGATGACGCTTTAGTTGTTGTTGTATTTGTACGTAAAGTTTAATGTTGTTGCTGCTTGACTGCACTGAAAACGTCACGGAAGTATTTTCGAAATAAACTAAATCATGTCTGAAATGTGGTCGCTTGTCTCAGGAGAAGAAAAGACATTCACATACCCCTGAGCTATTTATCACCATGTACCCCACATTTCATTTCTAATGGTCTGTGTTTGACCAACTGCTTCCTTGTGGCTGGAAACGACATAAACAAGAAGTGGCCAAAGTTGAAGAAGTTGATGAAACATTTTAACTGCTTCCATGTTTGTTTGATTGTTGTTGTTGTTTTTACATTAGTACTAAAAACGTCACGCCCAAAATTCTTCACACTCCTTGAAATTGGCCTAAATTGTTGAGAAACCCTCCTTCTATTACATTGCAGCCA